TCTGGATTTCGTGACATAGTCCAAAATAACTTAAGTTTTAGGCGAGCACTATTTCGGTCGGATTGCACAATAATTTCTTGACGTTGTGTTATTCAGTTTGTCATGACCCCTCCAGCGATGAGCACCTAAAGGGATAATTGTTCTCACAAGTTCATCCAATGTTCTTGATTCCAATTACAAAGTATGATTTACATCATAATATGAAGACAGCAGAGATGACCTCCTCCGGCACACAGTAAGAGCATAACATCTGCAATTAGCTATCGCGCAGTCTAATGAGTAGGCTTACTTCACTGAGAGTGCCAGTTACGTCGCAAGGCGCGGATTGTGAGAAAGACAATGCCGTACATAGTCTCCTTGTGCTTTCCATTCATCGCGGATCTCAACAGAGATATTGGAATGCGTTAAATTATAATGGTCTTCGAAAATATGTTAGAAATAAATGCACCCAGCTTAAAAACAACTGATATACAATAGGGCATACGAAAGCATTCGCATCCTTAGCGCTGTTTGCTTAGATAGGAAGGCCAGATGCGCGAAGATGTATCATGACAACCTTCACACGAATGCTATCAAAACTTCCAAAAAGAGTTCAAAGTGATTAGCTTAGTTCCCTTCTCTATGACCTTCCCGATGATACAATTTGACTCTCTGTAGTGAGGTGGGCGTTTGAGAGAATAAGCTGCGATTGTGTTCCACTTCCCAGGCTCTGAAGAACGAAACTCAAGATGTCAACTGAGTAAAAGTTGATCAACAATCTTGGTATGATGGTTATGGTTGACTTGTGGTATTAGCCAGTGAGGACGCATGGCAGACGCGTGTGTGCAAAATAAATACAGTTGAATAGAAGGCTCTTTATTAGCTCGGGCTGCTTCCGGTATCGCAGTGGGTATATATAGGCAGGTGTGGGACGTGGTTAAGCCCCAAAGTTGTCCAATCGCGCGATAAAGGCGCTATTATCAATATATGGGTCCACCTTACGACCCTTAACTAATCAACACAGTGTGCGCGGTAAATAAAGCACCAAACGAAAAGATGAGTGAATGGGAGGTGTTATTTATCATACGCAGTCTAATGGGGAACCAGCAGCCGAAAAAAAATCAACTCATTATTGCTGTTAGACTTGGACAACTTCCTACCTATCTGCTTGTTGTAAACGCCGCAATGTTCCTCGCTTGCTTTGAGATAATCCGAAAGCACAGCACAACAGTTTGTGATTTCAGGTGTCACCTGAATCATTTGACTTTAAAGAGATGTTGTCAAATTGAAAAAAAGGATCAAACCTTAGATCCTATAGCTTCAACAAGTTGCCGGTTCTGTGAGATGAGCGCCGACAGAGACTCTTCTTTACTCCACCAAACTTCCATTTCCAGCTGCTGATCGTAAACAACTTCGCGAGTCTACGAAAACAATCTGAGATTAACGAACAAACATAAACAAAAAAGTTATTCACCCCTCTCAATTCTTTATATAGCTTTCTAGCTACTCCATGTATTTCTTCGAACGCATTTTTGGTTGCAATAAGCCTATCGGTCGTAACAACCAAGTCCTATGAATAAATATTTGAAGATTTTTTGAAACTATCAGAAAAGTTTCTTTTACCTTTTTAACATCATCAAGCTCATCAACTCTTTGCCGAAGCTTTGTCTCTAACCTTTTGTTGCGGTGATATAGTTCCCGATACTGTTCATCCATAATTTCTTGATCTTCGAAGA